CCTTCTTTCCTGGAAGCAAATAAATTGGGGAAAGATCTACAAATAAGCCGGTCAAGAAGATTGCGTAGACAACAGGAAGGCCTATTATTTTTGTGAGATTTTCCTCATCCCAATGCGGATGCTGTCCCTAAAAAATGGCAATAATGAGAATTCAGTTTCGTATCAACTTGGTACACGTGTCGTTCCTGCTACGATTCTGGTTAGTGACAATTTATATAAAAAACACTGATATATAAAATATTCGTCACAATAATTTAAAATTCATTTATGATATGCAGAAAATTGCAATTGACAGCGCCACTCTATTAATTACTAAACAGTGCCAAAGTGATGTGATGCAGGCATGTAATATTGGTCAAATTATAAATACTGAAGCGAAATTGCCAATGACTTTCAATGCGTAGACAAGCTATGTGGCTTGGAACCACGAAGTGGAAGCCAAGCGAGCGCTGTCGGCATAAATTCTTGAAGAATTAAGAAAAAACATGTATGAAACTGCGACCAAATATCCTGGCCTGCTCAAGAAATCTTCTCACAAAAATGGGTCTCTATCAGAATGAAACATTTATTGAAATATTATTGTTTCTCCATTAAGCAGTTATTTTGGAAAATTGACATTCACGATTCACGAGAAGTGTTGTGCAACACGTAATTCCGTGGATTGTTAGTAACACGTAATTCCGTGTAATACATATCTTTCAAGAAATTTATCAATAACTTGCAAATAATAAAAGTAAAATAGTTGGCTTTCCCACCAGAGCTGTTAGCATTCAGTAATTCAGTAACCAATGATACAATTCAGATAATTTAAAAATTCTTTTAGTTGTTATCAGAGCATTAATGATGTTTTATGTAATTATTTTGAAGTTCCCGACTGTACTACATTAAACTTCTAGAATATGAAACACAATTCTGCCCCACACTGCAAGACGCTGATGAGCCTTCGTAAATTATGTAAGCAATTTTAATTTGACAGGATGGGTACCAAAAACGTCGAAAAGTCAAACGAAAATAATCACAGAGATGTAAAATACATAAGTTGTACGAAAAAGCGATTCACGTGGAGCTGCTTCCTATAATCAGACCATCATGGCAAGTGGGAGTTGTAGGGTAAGACCCGGTGATATCATTGCCGCTTTCGTTGTTCTTACTCCCCAGAAATCCCACCAAATTCAAATTTGCACAGCGCTGGGTTAGACGAAATCAGAAAAACGTCTCGGAGATTTTAAGGTATTTTTTAATGTGTTTAAAAATGACAATTTTAACAGGATTGTGCTCAAGGATGTTTTTATTTTGGAACAAATGTGACTCCGGACAGCACGTTGCCAAACCAACCCATTATAGAAGTAAACAGACTCCCAATATACTAGACCTGGTGTTTACCAGTGATGAATCAATGTTGGATGAGCTTCGTCACGAGGCTCCGTTTGGCAAAAGCCATCACCAATCATTGTTTTTCAGACTTAAGTGCTGTACAGAAAAGACGCCTCGGAAGCGTGAGCTTTTGAATTTTGCGAAAGGCGACTATGATAAACTCCGTGAAGCAGTGAATGCAGTGAATATTTCGAACTGTATTAAGGACATGAATGTGGCTGAGTCATGGTCACTTCTCAAGGATACGATTATGTCTGCAGTTGATGCGTGTGTACCTAAAATTAAGCTTGGTGGAGCCAAAAAAACTCGGTGGATGAACAGTACAGTTTTAGCCAAGCTGAAAACAAAGAAGGAAGCATACCAGCGTTATTTACAGACTCGTAGCGATGCTGACTATAACCTATACGCAAGAGCTCGAAATCAAGCTAAAGAAAGCTGTCGCACCGCAGTAAAAACCCTCGAAAAAAGTATTGCTACAAATGCAAAAAAGAACCCGAAAGCCTTCTTTTTGTACGCTAGCTCGAAGTGCAAGATGAAGGACGGTATTTCTGATTTGAAAGTAGATCAGCGAAAGATATCCTCTGATGAGGGCAAAGCCAACGTACTTAATCATTTTTTCAGTAGCGTGTTCACTGAAGAGGACTTGAACAGTATTCCAGCTATTGAGGAGCGCCCAGTCGGCTCTAAATTAGCAAGCTTTGAAATACAAGAAGAAGAGGTTCTCAAGCGCCTTATCGCTGTAAATCCAAACAAGTCATGTGGACCAGACGGCTTCCACCCCTGATTACTCAAAGAGTTAGCAACTGTCCTAGCCGGCCCTCTGACGTCACTTTTTCGAAAAACTTTGATCGAAGGAATGTTGCCGGCTGACTGGAAAGAAGCTCAAGTGACACCATTGTTCAAAAAAAGGTGACAAAAGCTGCCCGGGCAACTATCGCCCAGTCAGTTTGACAAGTGTCCTTTGCAAGGTAATGGAATCTGTTGTGAGGGATCGATTGATAGATTATTTGATTGCTAATAATCTCCTATCAGACTGTCGACATGGCTTTATTGCCGGGAGATCCTGCACCACTAACCTCTTGTCGACTCTGAACGAATGGACCCGCCTGCTGGACGAAAGGGAGCCTGTAGATGCAGTGTACCTCGATTTTGCCAAGGCATTTGACAGTGTCCCACATGAGCGGCTGTTGCGTAAATTGAAGTCTTTGGGAATTGAGGGTAATGTACTCAAATGGATCAGGGATTTTCTGGTAGGGAGGCGACAACGTGTCAGTATTAATGGGTCCGTATCAGACTGGGCTTCAGTGCACAGCAGCGTGCCACAAGGAAGTGTTCTCGGGCCTATTCTATTCGTTGCGTTTGCAAACGATCTGCCAGAAGCTGTGTCTAGCGTTTGCTCGATGTATGCTGACGACACAAAAATTTATAATACAGTGAAGAATACGTCGCAAAAAATACAGTTGCAAGGTGATCTTGACAGGCTGGTTGACTGGGCTGATAAGTGGCAGCTGCGTTTTAACGCTGACAAATGTAAAGTTATCCGGCTGCTGAGGCCGCTACTGCACCAGCCCACGAAGGTCTGCGCCATCAGGAGCACCAGGAACACGAATCCACCTTGGCAAGAATAATGAACAGCAAGATTACAGTATGAGAAGACACGGTTGCAACGACAGAGTGATGATGTCGAAGTCTACAACGGAAAAGGATTTAGGAGTTAATATCGACAATGAGTTGAAATTTTCTAAGCATATTGAAGGTCAAGTTAATAAAGCCAATAAACGACTTGGACTGATCAGACGCTCTTTCGAGTTCCTAGATTTAGAAACGATGAAGCAGTTGTTTGTTGCTGTCGTGCGCCCGAACCTGGAGTTTGGAAACGTCGTGTGGTCACTGAAATTTGAAAAGGACAAAAATTTAGTAGAGAGTGTTCAAAGACGCGCAACAAGGATAGTTCCGGGCATGAATGGCAGGTCCTATGAGGAAAGATTAACACGTTGACTACGATTGGTTCATCTTGAAACTTTTGTTTCATTTTTCTAGTACTATTATGGAACAGGGTTGCCAGACTTTCTTTTTTTTATCGGACAAATTCTGCGATTTAGTTTTTTTCAATTTAGGTGGTCGGCTAAAATTTATGATAGGGGTTGTAGGGGGCGCTTCCTAATTAACTAAAAAAAATTGAATTTTTACACCGGAACCTACAAATATACTAGTATATATTGAGTTATAGGCCTTTTTGGCCTTTTTGTTCACGGACTTAATTGGCCGATTTTTAGGCCATCTGGCAACCCTGAATTATGTACCAGGAGAAATACATTTCGTGGTACGCATATGTACCAATACGTAGTCAACGTGTTAAAGATTATGAAGCTTCCAAGCCTCAGTTATCGACGTCTACTTAGGGACCTCATTGAAACATACAAATATACTCATGGCTTATACAAGGTCCCAGAAGGATTACTAGAATTTGAAACAAGAACCAACACCAGGGGCCACGGCTACTAACTAAAAAAACAGCGTTGGAACACATCCATGCGACAATATTTCTTCTCGCTTCTGTAAGGAATTCAAACAAACATAACTGCTAACAATTTTATTGAAACTCCAAAGGATAAGCTTCGGATCCAGAGAAGTAGCAACCGGAACTGCAGTGGATGCAGTTGAGGAAACTGAAATTAGAAAAAGAAACCTTACTTAATGAATGCCAAAGCTTGAGAATCGATTTGATCAATTATGCTCAGAAATTCCAATTCAGCGGTACAAAACTTGACAGTGAACGCATATTCCCAATCTAACCTCAAATGAAATAACGCGATCAAAAAGATGATAGGAAGTGAAATTGCACTCTGGTCACTGCGGGCAATACAGTAGCCTAGAACACCATTTGTGTCACCTCCGTATCATATAAGCCAGTCAAAAGTTGAGCTCTTAATGCTTCAAAATTTCTCTCGAAATCAATACTTAATCTAACTTAATCTCTAAGGTCTCCGTTACAGTAAAACGGAACATAATTTCAATTAAATGGAACATGAATCGGTAAAATTTCTAATACTTCGTGTCACCGACATGTGGAACAGCCTCCCTGATAGCATCGTTGACGCTCCGAGTAGGAACATCTTCAAAAACAGACTAGACGAAGCTATGCTGCCTATGCAGGAGCATATGTTCAGTCTTAAAATGCCTAGCAAATTACGGACCAGGAAATAAGTCCAGCAGCTATCTATATCAATCGTCAGTTATGGAAAGATCGGGTTCCAAAGGCCGGATCCCTTGTGAATCAAGTAACGAAAAGTTCAAGAATCGGCAACAGGCCATGGGCCTATTTCTTCAACGCCGACAATTCTATTCTATTCTAAATCAAAGAACCGCAGAACGTTAGCCACATTTTTAGAAGAGGTGGTCAACTTTGTGGTAGTTAAACATTCACTCTACGGTTTTTAATCAGCTTTGGATTAGTAATATAGTAATATCTGTTATGTCAAGGAAAATACCCAGAAAAAATGTTATATTGGTTTCATGTAATTTTTGAATCCCGGACTAATCCGTTTTTTACTGAGAAGTTACATTTTATATTGATGCATTAAATTTGAGATAAGACATCATAATAACCAAACCTAAACTTTTCAGGCATTAAAAGAGAATGCATAAGTTTCGTGGACATTAAGAGTTTTACCGAGGTTGCCAAACAAGAAGGGAAAGAATGCACTTCGCAGATAAAAAACAACTCATTGCTGTTCTCGACTTGAACTCAACGTATAATTTATAGTATTCGTCAGTTAGAAGATTCTCCGTAATATTAGAGAGATTGAACTAATGAGTTAGTTTACAGCATGTTTATACCGCACAAGTCAGAACACCAAATGAACAGCTTGTTCTAGATGAATAATATTCATTGTTATTATTCTTACACATAAGCTGTAGCATAATTAAATTATTATTCTGTTTGATTCAAGTTTTTTATGAGAGGAAATTTGGAGTAATTTGGCCGCGATGAAGCGAATCATTCGGCCGTCGATTCTTCATCTTCTGGTTCTCGCCTGCATCACAATCTTTGGAGCCATGTTCGTAGTTGAGGTGAGGGTTTAGCCAAACACTATACGGTGTTATCAAGATTAAAACCTGAACTCGAACATTCGAATACCGCAAAACTCAAACACACAAATGGTCTCAAATACCATTAGCCTGTTTAATTTGTGGTGATTGATGAAGTAAATGATTGCTCATGATTAGTTCCGGAGGAATAAAGAGCTGAAAATTATAATCTCATAATGTCACTATAGGCTTTATCTCAGGCATCTCATTCGTGTACAAATACTGTATAGTATGTATGTCGCCTTAATATTGCATCGAATAGATTCAATCATAACAGCTATGTAATAAAATGAACTTTGAGTCCTTATTCATACACGCTTATGTAAATATACTGTACTCTGCCGTGCTATAATCACGCACTAGAATATTTGCATGTACGTGCTGTGTCTTTCTTTACACTTAATTATTGAATGGTCATTATTTTTGCCTTTAACTTATTTGAAGGCCTACGGCATAATTTTTGTGTATAATGTAAACAAATCATAGCACATCTTGGAAAGTTTATGTTTATCTTGTTACCAGTACACCTATGTAATGCAATATTTTGTAAAATTATGACAACAATGGTCTTAAATGTAGATGACTGGCAGTTTTCATATTGGTTTTGACATCGTTAAATACTTCTTAATTATTCCAGGTCAAATTCGCGATGGTGAAGGGGACAGTGCCGCTTGAAAATCATTCAACTTATGAGCACTTTGCAGACCTTCGCGAGGTGGTGCAAGCTTTCAACATACAGTATAATATTGCGACAAATAGGAAATTTCTCATTCTTAGAGAACATATTAAGTATAAAAATATCAGTTTATTAGGAAATGTTTAGATGAACAAGCAAGGATTATTTTAATAATATAGTATTTAATAGCAAGGAATACCTTAGTGGCTAACCAGTTTATGATCATAGGTCAACGTGTAAAAGTTGCACGTTGCTATTCCAGGTAACATTCAGACTGAAAGGACCACTTCAGCCTGATGATCCATCCCTGATATCCGTCATCAAGCGTGACTATTTACGGCCTCCAGGATCAGGACCTTACCAGTTGCGCCACCTTGTCTCAGGCGACTACGAAGATAAATTGATCAGCGAGCTTTGGATAGACTCGTACCTAAGGGACATTTATCCTCCTGGTAAAAAATGATATTTCGTGGAAGCGGGAGCATTGGATGGTGAGTACCTCTCCAACACCCTGCGTCTGGAGAGGGAGCAAGGATGGACTGGACTCTTGGTGGAGCCTGACATGGACAACTACAAGCAACTGTTAAAGACCAACCGCAAGGCATGGACGAGTCCGACCTGCCTGGCTTTGAAAGACTATCCCGAAACTGTCGTGATTGCAAAAATGAGGAACCTGAGACCTCAGATAAATTGGCTTTGGAGAGCCACTACGTATATTCGGACGGTGAGGCAGAGGAATAACAAACTATCATCTTCAAAAATAGTTTTTTTCGACTGTTGAAGTAACCCCAGCCATAGAAAGCAATTACTGAGCGAAATAGCAATGACACATATTATTAATCATTTCAATGTTGGACTGAGAAATATACCTATAAAATAAACCTACATGTGTTAATTTTTGTAATTGTGTCATGTGTTTTTTCACATTGACTAAATCGCGACTGCAAACGGGACAAAGAAATCACACATAATAAATCAAATCTTCTAACTAGATATAAGACGTCACCTTTTTTCATTCGTTCACATTTGCTTCGCCCAGTTTTCGCACGTGATTTGGCATTTTGCTAACAGATAACTTGAATAACGATCAAAGACGACCACCATGTGAAATCATAAGCCATTCACAAGCTAACGGGACAAATGAGCTTTATCGCTCTAACGTTACATTTTATGTTTAAAAATTCGACTTCAAATTACACCTAATCGAATGAATGAAGTTTGTTGCAGATATCATTTGCCGCGATCAAATTGTGGTCATTTACTTAACATACATGTTTTGCTTCATGACAAATATCGTTATACTAATTAATTCTTCCTTCGTCAAGGTCGTGTATTTCAACTTTTCCTCCGTCAGGGTCGGGTATTTCAACTTTTAAAATTTTAATAAAGCTACAATTGTACCTATCTCCAGATTAGTCCGAATTTCGATTCGGAAACAACTGTTCTTTCTTGCAGGAAGAACGCGATCATCCACAATACTCGGAGGCCAAATCCGTTACGCAGTACGACACCGCCCACTGCCCAGTGCGTCCCTGCGCGATCCCTGTTCCTGGCGCTCAACGTGAGCCACGTGGACTTCTTCAGCTTGGACATCGAGATGACTGAAGAGGCGGTGCTCAAAGTTTTCCCTTATCAAGATGTTACGGTGGACGTGTGGGCAATCGAACACAGGGTACCAGGTTTTGTCGTTGTTGATGTTGAGAAACTGCACCGCTCAAGCAATTACACTCTTGTGGAAATGGAGCAGCAAGGCTTTCCACCGGAAGATATAATCCACAGACAACGCCTCGTAAGTGCGTTCGAGGATAAAAACTTCATCCAATTCATGATCAACAAAGGGTACTACTACTTGGATGCCACGTGTACATACGTCGGAGACTTTATGTTCGTGAGGAAAGAATCGGAGATTTACAAGTCAATGGAAGTGCCCGAACATGCAAGCAATCGAACTGAAATTTGCAAGCACAAGTTATTATTAGATCATTCCCAAATCGACTATAGTGACACCGCGTCACGCGATCCACATCACTATCCAGGATTATTGTATAAGTTTTTGGAATAAAATAGCTCACTTGATTGTACAATGCTGATCGTAATCAGACTGAGACAGTTTCCATGTATGTGCCTCACAAGGCCGTCTGTGAGGTCACTTTCAGTACTACTACATGCCAATAAGTTTCGAGGTAGAAACAAATTAAAACTCTTCACTAGCCTTTTATGATGAGGAATATCACTTACACACATAGAACTTATTAACCTGAAGCCCCTGCGAGATCTTGCCTTCTTTTCTCATTTTATGAGGATCATTCAATCCTCTAACTTTGAGTAGTATCATCTTTGATACCAAACATAGACAATAAGTAGCACTGTAGAACATATAAATGTATCACATTATCAAATTAGTTACAGCCATTACATGTTAGCGATGGATCATAAACAAATACAACTTGAACACTTTAATAAAATTACATTATTCTGTTTAAATGAATATTTGAGCTATCACATTTGTATTCAATTATTTAATTACTACTCCGTCTCTTGCAACTGCCATTAAATCTCACAGACAATTCTTCTATTTAAATCTGCGGGTCCGCCAAACTCCGCTATACATGCTGCGTCAGGTCCCTTGTCGCATGATTGAACTATATAAGGTTGACCCACGAGAAGGAGTTCTGTTCTAACCGTTGAGGCAAGAGGTTCTTTGTGCTGAGCTCCAGTGACAGTATAGCCGGCTTCGGCCGGCTGCTACGTCATCTTTCTGGAACTATCTTTCTCGAACTTTGAAAATGCCGTGCTGTCCCGCTCTGAGGCGTTGAGCCGGCGAATGGTACGACCAGCTAAAGTGAAGTTTAACTCCTGAACACCTAAAATGCTCCCGGCATCTAACTGCAAAATTCGTTACAAAGATTTTAAGATGCCTCCATGTGTGGTTAGTGCCCCCGGGTTCGTGGTTAGTGCCCCCGGGTTCGTGGTTAGTGCCCCCAGGTGAGTGGTTAGTGTCCCCAGGTGAGTGGTTAGTGTTCCCAGGTGAGTGGTTAGTGTCCCCAGGTGAGTGGTTAGTGTCCCCAGGTGAGTGGTTAGTGTCCCCAGGTAGTGGTTAGTGTCCCCAGGTGAGTGGTTAGTGTCCCCAGGTAGTGGTTAGTGTCCCCAGGTAGTGGTTAGTGTTCCCAGGAGGTGAGTGGTTGGTGTCCCCAGGTGAGTGGTTAGTGTCCCCAGGTAGTGGCACTTTCTGCCCTGGAGTGGGACTATCTGCCCTGGAGTGGGGCTATCTGCCCTGGAGTGGGGCTGGCTGCCCTGGAGTGGGATTATCTGCCCTGGAATGGTGCTCTCTGCCCCGGTGTGGTCTCCACTTTTGTGGCCCCGTTCTGTAGCCCTTCAGCCATTGAGAAATCTGGAGTTTTTTTTCTAAGACACCCAATTTTGTACCTGAAAACAAAACTCAGTCAAATTCCTTAAACTGTTCTGACATGGGGCCGCATTGAACCAGTCTTCAGAGGCTCCCATGAATTCCAATTAAAGAAAAAAGAAAAATACCCACGAGAAGTTCCGTCTTTCAGTTCAGCTTTCTCGTTATGTCACGTAGATCGAGAAACGTAAACAAACCTGTCATTCCAATGACGGATTGTTTGACTGGTTTGATCGCATTTCGGTGATTGGATAATGCCCGTGACGTCACTGAGATCAGTGACGACACAGGCGAACAACGGACTACATCCGCAAAAATGGGCTGATGGGTCAACCTTAAACTAGTTCAACCATGCCTGGTCGTCCGCGTTATGTGGCACATGCAGTCAGACTGCGGATGCTGGAATATTAGAGGAACTTATATTTCAATAAAAGTGCCTATGTTCAGTCAATTTTAATGCGCTTGCGTGTTTGACTTTCATGGCTCTCTGGATATGTTGATTACTTATTGAAGGATAATGGCGAAGTTTCAAGTTGTTGCTCTTTTAATTTTCCTGACCATCAACCTGAAGATCCATTGCCGGGCTGTTTGACAGAAAATAAATACGGCTCTTCATCTAAGTTGAATCGTTTACCGACACATGGCCTGCCTTATAAGATGGAGGTTCGAAGTATAAAATATCTTCAAGGATTTATTCGAAACATGAAACTATTAATCCAGAAATTATCAGCAGCATTTGGTAGCTATAAAACGCTAAATGTCGTAAAATCATTATAACTTGGCAGCATACATTATAATATGTTTTGTGATTTCACCGTGCAAGCTTCCCATAAAATCTTGATGCTCCTAGCGTCACATGAGACGATCAATTATCGCAAGACTGGAAGTTTACGATTGGACTGCATGATCGGAATCGTGTTATAGAATTGCTGCATATAATTGTATGCAATTGCTGGCTATTGCTGTTCAGCAAACACGACTCTCGTCAAGTGGAATTCTGCAAGAATAAGTTTTAACAAGTTCCCCCAGATATCCCAGATATTTACAGCAGTAAAATGAATAATTTGATTCGTGTCAACAATGCTATATTGGAATAAATTTAGGTATTTTTCCATAATAGTACACACCGTTTGAATTTATTTCAATAGTTTTCAATGGAAAATCTCACACGCGGAATTTACGATATAAAGTCAAATTCACGAATTAAGTAATAATCTGCTGGATACTCTTGGGCAATACAATAATTTTAGTTTTATTTAGGTGAAACAAATTATGTTCAAGATGCATAGATGATCGGAAGATGGAAATTGAACCTCATTACAGGTCATTTAAACCAAAAAGGGACTTGATCTGAAAAATAACACAAACAGTGAAATGTTCAGATATAATCCCGAAGCATCGGTTAGTGTGAAACTGCAGCCCAGTATTGATGGGACTTCTTGAAAAAATTCCGTCATCCCATATATGAATAGTGCAAGTCTCCAAAAAACTCACATCGATTAGAGTCCTAAAGCATACCCACTGATTTTAAAGTTAAAGTTACTGAAATATTAGTTGGTGAAATTATATAAGTGACCACCAGATGATATAACCACCATATATAAATTATTTAAGTGACCACCAGATTTATCCTTATTATCAAAGTCTAATCTGCAATTTTGTCTAATTTCAAGCCGCTTATTTAGCAATTTATGTCACACCATTGATAGAGAAATAAGCTTCACAGAGGTTTTTTGCAACAATTTGATGTTAGCTTTGTCTACACTAGCTGTAGGTTTAATGTCAATTTAAATAATTAATTTTAAATCCAATTCACATATCCAATCCAATTCATCCAATTCATTCAGTCTCTCAAGGTGAAATATAAAAAACCTACATTATTATTATAAAAGGTTATTTTTGCAATGATATTTACATAGTCACTTGCTATGCTTTTTAAGACTATTATTTCATGATTAATATATTTATTATGTTAACCAACTCAAAAATCCAAAAGAAGTAGCAAGAAAAATTATTAATTAATAAAAGCCTTCAGTCATGACTGTGGAATAAGAGGAGCAAAGTACGTAGACTTTCTCTGTTTTGTCATTTAGCCACTTGATATTTTGGCTCCTCAAAAGAAGTCGAATCTTGAAAGACTAGACAAAATTAAGGCTGGTTAGGAACAAAGAAGATCAAATCCTCTAGGTATATTGTTTTTTCAAAGACATAATGAGGGAGTACTTTTTGATAGAGGTTATTTTACCGCTTTTTAGAATACCAGTTTTTTTTAGAACATGCGAGTTTTTTTTATTTGCATGATTGAGCTTCCTAGTTAAAAAGCAACTAGCGATACAATTCCGTCAATTTTCGAGCACTTGCAATAGTAGAAGCCTAAAGGATTGGGACAGATTCCAAAGTGATCATTCTAATTATTCAATAGTAGTAGTAGCAGCATTGCGGCTTGCTAGCGCTTCAGCTATCAAGCTATTTCGCACCGGAGGTCGAAAGATAACATCGAAAGCAAGGTGGAAAGTCTCAATTATTAAAAATCTCATATTAATCATCACCCACAATTAAGGAGCGGAAGATCTCAATAATTGTCCAGCCCGCTGAAGCTGGCTCGAAAGAAGCAGCGTTAGCATCTCAAAAGAGACGAAGCGACAAGGAGGGACAGGTGAAAAGCCACAGAAACTGAAACTAAGTAGGTAAGGAATCCTACCTACTTAATAAATTAATGTAAGGAATCCTACCTACATAATAACTTAACCCCACAACTGAGACCCGCAGTCAGACACCGCGAGCTCAGCGGTGGGGCGCTCAGGAACAATCCCCCTAGGAGAGCGAAATCCCATAGGACTTCTGACGAGCACAGACACGCGTCAGAAGTCCCCCCCGAGGGGCTATTTATTCAATAATTATGAGGAAGAAACTGAAAATGTTTTTTACTAGCTTGCACTATTTCAGTTTTGAGAAACAAGAAAACAGCAAGGACTTGGGTTAATTGTTTTAATACATATTATTTCTTATTAATTTGCAGTCTCTGGCAGAGATGTGTCACTGCTTTCTTAATAGTGATACATCAAGTTTATGATACATCATCCTTTAGCTCCCTGTTTAAAAACTTAACAATAATTAGGTTAAAAGTTTTGACAAATGTAATAATAGAAGCTGATACTCTATATCAAATTTTTAATAATCAGCATGAATTTCAAAGACTTTAATGATATGAATGAATTGAATGATGGAAGTGAAAAAATAATAAAACCCATACCCCCCATTTTGACCGTTTTTT